CATGTCAGTTAACTTCTAATTTTCCTCCAAATTAGTTTCGGAAAAAAAAAAGTTTGGTTTTTAGAGCGTTTTGGAGAGTTTAGAATTAGAGATGAGGGTTTATAAACTTGTTCTAAATGCTTATATTAATGTTTTTTATTCCTATCTTTCTTATTACACTTCTTGATCTGTCTGCTCTTGCAATAGCACTATTCTGTCTTTTTAAATTTTTTATTTTATTTTAAGTTCTCGGGTATATGTGCAAGATGTGCAGGTTTGTTTAATACGAAAACATGTGCCCATGGTGGTTTGCTGCACCTTCAACCCATTATCTAAGTATTAAGCCCAGCATGCATTAGCTGTTTTTCCTGATGCTCTCCCTCACCCTGCCACCCACATCCCCCACCCACCCCTGCTGACAGGCCCCAGCGTGTGTTGTTCCCCTCCCTGTGTCCATGTGTTCTCACTGTTCAACATGCATTGTTTGACTTTCTGTTCCTGCATTAGTTTGCTGAGGATAACGGCTTCCAGCTCCATCCATGTCCCTGCAAAGGACATGATGTCATTCCTTTTTATGGCTGCATAATATCCCATGGTGTATATGTACCACATTTCCTTCACTCAGAAGAAAATTCTTCGTATCATTGATGGGCATTTGGGTTGATTCCATGTCTTTGCTATTGTGAATAGTGCCACAACAATGATACGTATGCATGTATGTTTATAATAGAATGATTTATATTCTTTTGGGTATATACCCAGTGATAGGATTGCTGGGTCAAATGGTATTTCCAGTTTTAGGTTTTTGAGGAATGGCCACACTGTCTTCCACAATGGTTTAACTAATTTACATTACCACCAACAGTGTAAAAGCGTTCTTATCTCTCCACAGCCTCGCCAGCATCAGTTGTTTCTTGACTTTGTAATACTTGCCATTCTGACTGGAATGAAATGATATCTCATTGTAGTTTTGATTTGCATTTCTCTAATTATCAGTGATATTGAGCTTTTTTTCATATGTTTGTTGGCTGCATAAATGTCTTCTTTTGAGAAATGTCTGTTCATTTCTTTGCCCACTTTTTAATGGGATTTGTTTTTTCTTGTAAATTTGTTTAAGTTCCTTGTAGACTCTGGATACTAGACCTTTGTCAGACGGATATATTGCAAATTTTTTCTCTCATTCTGTAGGTTGTCTGTTTACTCTGATGATAGTTTCTTTTGCTGTGCAGAAACTCTTTAGTTTAGTTAGACTCCATTTGTTGATTTTCACTTTTGCAATTGCTTTTGCCATTTTTGTCAAGTAATCTTTGCCCATGCCTATGTCCTGTATAGTATTGCCTAGATTTTCTTCCAGGGTTTTTATAGTTTTGGATTTTACATTTAACTCTTTAATCTATCTTGAGTTAATTTTTGTATATGGTGTAAGGAAGGGGTCCAGTTTCAATTTTCTGCATATGGCTAGCCAGTTCTCCCAGCACCATTTAAAGGATTTTCTTTCCCCATTGCTTGTTTTTGTCAGGTTTATTGAAGATGAGATGGTTGTAGAACTTATTTCTGAGTTCTCCATTCTGTTCCATTGGTCTATGTGTCTGTTTTTGTACCAGTACCATGCTGTTTTGGTTACTGTAACCTTGTAATGTAGTTTGAAGTCAGGTAGCATGATGCCTCCAGCTTCGTTCTTTTTGCTTAGGATTGTCTTGGCTATAAAGGCTCTTTTTTGGTCCCATGTGAATTTTAAAATAGTTTTTCCTAATTCTGTGAAGAATGTTAATGGTAGTTTAATGGGTATAGCATTGAATCTGTAAATTGCTTTGGGCAGTATGGCCATTTTCACGATGCTGATTCTTCCTATCCATGAGCATGGAATGCTTTTCCATTTGTTTGTGTCTTCTCTGATTTGGTTTGCAGTTCTCCTTGAAGAGGTCCTTCACTTCCCTTGTTAGCTGAATTTCTAGGTATTTTATTCTCTTTGTAGCAATCATGAATGAGAGTTCATTCATGATTTGGCTCTCTGCTTGTCTGTTGTTGGTGTATAGGAATGCTTGTGACTTTTGCACACTGATTTTGTATCCTGAGACTGCAGACATTGCTTATCAGCTTAAGAAGCTTTTGGGCTAAGATGATGGGGCTTTCTAGATATAGGATCATGTCATCTGCAAACAAAGACAATTTGACTTCCTCTCTTCCTATTAGAGTATCCTTTATTCTTTCTCTTGCCTCTTTGCCCTGGCCAGAATTTCTAATACTATATTTAATAGGAGTGGTGAGGGAGGGCAACCTTGTCTTGTACTAGTTTCAAAAAGAATGCTTCTAGCTTTTGCCTGTTCAGTATGATATTGGCTGTGGGTTTGTCATATATGACTCTTTTTATTTTGAGGTATGTTCCTTCAATGCCTTGTTTCAATTATTGAGAGTTTTTAACATGAAGAGATGTTGAATTTTATTGAAGGCCTTTTCTGCGTCTATTGAGATAGCAGTTTTGGTCTTTAGTTCTATTTACATCATGAATTATGTTTACTGATTTGCATATGTTTAACCAACCTTGTATTCCTGGGATGAAGCTGACTTGATCATGGTAGGTAAGCTTTTTGAAGTGCTCCTGAATTCAGTTTACCATATTTTATTGAGGATTTTTGCATTGCTATTCATTAGGGATACTGACCTGAAGTTTCTTGTTGTTGTTGTTGTTGCATCTCTGCCAGGTTTTGGTATCAGGATGATGCTCACCTCATAAAATAAGTTTGGGAGGAATCCCTCCTTTTCAATTGTTTGGAATAGTTTCAGAAGAAATGGTACCAGCTCCTCTTTGTACCTCTGGTAGAATTCAGCTGTAAATCCTTCCGGCCCTCGGCTATTTTTTGTTTGGTAGGCTATTTATTACTGCCTGAATTTCAGAACTCATTATTGGTATATTCAGGGATTCAACTTCTTCCTGGTTCAGTCTTGGGTGGGTGTATGTGTTCAGGAATTTATCCATTTCTTCTAGACTTTCTAGTTTATGTGCATAGAGGTGTTCATAGTATTCTCTGATACTTGTTTGTATTTCTTTGGGGTCAGTGGTGATAGCCCCTTTATCATTTTTTATTGTGTTTATTTGATTCTTCTCTCTTTTCTTCTTTATTAATCTAGCTAGTGGTACATCTATTTTATTGATTTTTTCAAAAAAACAGCTCCTGGATTCATTGATTTTTTGAAGGGTTTTTTGTGTCTCTACGTCCTTTAGTTCCACTGTGATGCTGGCTATTTCTTGTCTCCTGCCAGCTTTGCTTTTCTCTTGGTTTGCTCTCGGTTCTCTAGTTCTTTTAGTTGTGATGTTAGAATGTCAATTTGAGATATTTCTAGCTTTTTGATGTGGGCACATAGTGCCATAACTTTTCCTCTTAACACTGCTTTAGCTGCATCCCAAGATTCTGGTACATTGTCTCTTTGTTCTCATTGGTTTCAAAGAACTTCTTGATTTCTTCCTTAATTTCATTATTTACCCAGGAGTCATTTAGGAGCAGGTTGTTCAATTTCCATGTAGTTGTGTGGTTTTGAGTAAGTCTCTTAATCTTGAGTTCTAATTTGATTGCATTGTGGTATGAGACTGTCTGTTATAATTTCAGTTCTTTTGCATTTGCTGAGGAGTGGTTTACTTCCAATTACGTGATTGATTTTAGAGTAAGTGCCATGTGGTACTGAATAGAATGTATACTCTGTTGATTTTGTGTGGAGAGTTCTGTAGCTATCTGTCAGGTCCACTTTATCCTAAGCTGATTTCACATCCTGAATATCTTTGTTAATTTTTTGTCTCAGTGATCTGTCTAATATTGACAGTGGGGTGTTAAAGTCTCCCATTATTATTGTGTGAGAGTCCAAGTTTCTTTGTAGGTATCTAAGAACTTGTTTTATGAAACTGGGTGCTCCTATATTGAGTACATATATATTTAGGAGAGTTAGCTCTTCTTGTTGAATTGAACCCTTTACCATTATGTAATACCCTTGTCTTTTTTGATCTTTGTTGGTTTACAGTCTGTTTCATCAGAAACTAGGATTGCAACCCCTGCTTTTTTCTACTTCCCATTTGATTGGTAAATTTTCCTCCATCCCTTCATTTTGAGCCTATGTATGTCTTTGCATATAAGAAGAGTCTTGAATACAGCACACCAAATGGGTCCTGTCTTTCTATCCAGCTTGCCATCCTGTGTCTTTTAATTGGGGCATTTAGCCCATTTACATTTAAGGTTAGTATTATTTTGTGTGAATTTGATCCTGTCATCATGATGCTGACTGGTTATTTTGCAGACTTGTTAATGTAGTTGCTTAATAGTATCTTTGGTCTGTGTACTTCAGTGGGTTTTTGTAGTGGCTGGTAACAGTTTTTCCTTTCCATATTTAGTGCTTCCTTCAGGAGCTCTTGCAAGGCAGACCTGGTGGTGACAAATTCTCTCAGCATTTACTTGTCTGAAAAGGATTTTATTCTTCCTTCACTTACGAAGCTTAGTTTGGCGAAATATGAAATTCTCTGTTGGACATTCTTCAAGAATTTTGATTATTGACCTCCAGTCTCTTCTGGCCTGTAGGGTTTGTCCTGAGGGGCCTGCTGTTAATCTGATAGGCTTCCCTTTGTAGGTGATCTGGCCTTTCTCTCTGGCTGCTCTTAACATTTTTCTCTTAATTTTGACCTTGGAGAATCTGAAAATTATGTGTCTTGGGGGTGATCTTCTCATGGAGTGTCTTACTGGGGTTCTCTGGATTTCCTGAGTTTGAACATTGGCTTGTCTTGCTAGGTTGGGGACGTTCTCCTGGATGATATAGTGAAGTGTGTTTTCCAACTTGGTTTCATTCTCCCTGTCTCTTTCAGGTACCCCAATCAGTCATGGGTTTTGTCTTTTTACATAATTCCATAATTCTCGGAGGTTTTGTTCATTTCTTTTCATTCTTTTTTTCTCTATTCTTGTCTGCCTGTCAGCAAGATAGTCTTCAGGCTGGGTGCACTGGCTTACGCCTGTAGTCCCAGCACTATGGGAGGCTGAGGCAGGAGGATCACCTGAGGTCAGGAGTTCAAGACCAGCCTAGCCAACAAGGCAAAACCCCATCTCTACTAAAAATATAAAAATTAGCCAGGTGTGGTGGCAGACACCTGTAATCCTGGCTACTCAGGAGGCTGAGGCAGGAGAATCGCTTGAACCCAGGAGGAGGAGGCTGCAGTGAGCTGAGATTATGCCACTGCACTCCAGCCTGGGTGACAGAGCAAGACTCCGTCTCAAAAAAAAAAAAGAAAAAGAAAGAAAGAAAAGAAAAAAAAGACAGTCTTCAAGCTCTAAGATCCTTTCCTCTACTTGGTCTATTTAGCTATTGAAATTGTGGGTGCATTGTGAAGTTCTCATGTCATATTTTTCAGCTGCATTAAGTCATTTATGTTCCTCTTTAAACTGGTTATTCTGGTTCACTGCTCCTTTAATGTTTTTTCATTGTTCTTAACTTCTTTGCATTGGGTTAGAACATACTTCTTTAATTCAGCGAAGTTTGTTATTATCCACCTTCTGAAGCCTACTTCTGTCAATTCATCTATCTCAGTACATCTAAGCACTACATCATGTGCTCAGTATACCATTTTATTTTTTATTTTTTTGAGACAGAGTCTCACTCTGTTGCCCAGACTGGAGTGCAGAGGCGTCATCTTGGCTCCCTCAAACTCTGCCTCCACGGTTCAAGCAATTCTTCTGCCTCAGCCTCCTGATTATCTGGGACTACAGGCATGCACCACCACGCCTGGCTAAGTTCTTTGTGTTTTTAGTAGACACAGGGTTTCACCGTGTTGCCCAGGATGGTCTCGAACTCCTGACCTCAAGTGATCCACCCGCCTCAGCCTCCCAAAGTGCTAGGATTACAGGCGTGAGCCACCACACCTGGCCCAGTATACCATTTTAAAATCAGAAACTCTAAATGTATTTTTTCCAATAACTGCAGATGATCAGATGATAAAACAAATGCTTTGAGGGTGAGAGAGTGAGAGTGAGCAAGAGAGAAACAAAATAGTCATTAAAGACTTTGTAAAGTGTAGAAGTCCTAGGTATTAGTCCCAACTCTGCCACTTACTGGGTTAGTGTCCTTAGGCAAGTTAATGGTCTCTGCAAACCTTAGGTTTTTCATTTATATAAAGGGACTGCCTACCTTGCAAGATTGTTGTAATGAATAATTAAGATTATTTTAAAGTGTACAGAGCATATCTTAGCTATTGTGAATGATGCTGCAATGAACATAGGAGTGTTGATATCTCATATATATGTATGTGTGTATGTGTGTGTGTGTGTGCGTGTGTGTGTGTGTATATATATATATAGAGAGAGAGAGAGAGAGAGGTCTCACTCTGTTGCCCAGGCTGGTGTTGAATTCCTGGCTCAAGTGATCCTCTCACCTCAGCCTCCCAAAGTCCTGGGATTACAGACATGAGCCACCAGCACCTGGCCAAGTGTGAATATCTCTTTGAGATCCTAATTTCATTTCATTTGGCTATATACCCAGAAGTGGGATTGCTGGGTCATATGGTAGTTCTTTTTCTAATCTTTTGAGGAACTTTCATACAGTTTTCCATAGTGGCTGTACCATTTTGCATTTTTAACAACAGTATATGAGAGTGCCTTTTCTCCACATTCTCAGCAACTTATCTTTTTTTCTATAGTAGCTGTGAGATGATATCTCATTGTAGTTTTTATTTTCATTTCCCTGATAGTTAATGATGTTGAGAATCTTTCATGTACCTGGCCCATTTGCATGCCTTCTTTGTAGAAATGTATGTTCAACTGCTTTGCCCAGTTTATTATTGGGTTATTAGTTTCTTTGCTATTGAGTTGTAGGAATTCCTTACATATTTAGGAAATTAACCCTTTATTTGATATATAGCTTGCAAATATGATCTCCCATTGCATAGGTTCATTCTGTTGATTATTTTCTTAGCTGTACAGAAGCTTTGAGTGTCAATTGACTGATGAATGGATAAAGAAAATATGCATAGAATGGAATATTACTCAGCCCTAAAAAGAAGGAAATCTTACCATTTGTGTCAACATGGATGAACCTGGAGGACATTATACTAAATGAAATAAGCCAGTCACAGAAGGACAAATACTGCACGGTTCCGTTTATATGAGGTATCTGCAATAGTCAAACACATAGAAGCAGAGAATACAATAGTGGTTAACAGGGTGCCAGTGGGTGGGGGAAGTGGTGAGTTGTCGTTCAATGGATATAAAGTTTTGGTTATGCTAGATGAGTAAACTCTAGATATCTGCTGTACGACATAGTACCTATAGGCAACAATATGATATCACATACTTCAACATTTGTTAAGAGGGTAGACCTCACATTAAGTGCTGTTACACACATACACAAACAAAAAATTTGAACAAAAGAGACATAAGGAAACTTTGTGAGGTGTCGGATATGTCTGTTACCTTGATTGTGTTGATAGTATCATGGGTGTTTGCATATGTCCAAACTCATCAAATTGTACACATTTGTATAAAGTGTTCTTTTTGTATCAATTAGGTCTCAATAAATCTGTTAAAAAGATAATGTATATAGAACAGTGTGCTGGTTGATTATGTGATAAATGGTAACTCTTTCTTTTTTTTTTTTTTTTTTGAGACAGAGTCTTGCTCTGTTACCCAGGCTGGAGTGCAGTGGTACAATCTCAGCTCACTGCAAACTCCACCTCCCAGGTTCACGCCATTCTCCTGCCTCAGCCTCCCAAGTAGCTGGGACTACAGATGCCCGCCACCGCGCACGGCTGATTTTGTGTATTTTTGGTAGAGACGGGGTTTCACTGTGGTCTCGATCTCCTGACCTCATGATCTGCCCGCCTCAGCCTCCCAAAGTGCTGGGATTACAGGCGTGAGCCGCCGCATCTGGCCATAAATGGTAACTCTTATGTCTATTTTTATGGCAAAAAATAAAAGTAGAGAAAGGAAGCTTATAATAAAAAATTATTGAATAAAGCAACAGGAATAAAGTAAAGCATAATTTATGACCATAAATGTAAAAATCATGGTAGTATTAAATACAAAGTTTTAGGTTTCCTTACTAAAAGGCACAGTTTTAAGAAACTAATGATATGCCACTTGAAGATAATCTACATATAACAAAATAATAAAGATATGTTAAAACTAAAATGATGGACAAATATATAAGGTGAAAGCATATAAAAAGAAAGAACAGATGGATATATTAACATCACAGCAAGTGAAATTTAAGAAGAAAACATTAAACCAAAAAATAGTTCCATTTTATAATGAGGAGTGGTATCATCCACAATGAAGATCTACGCTATTTAGTATACATCTTCTATGCTATTTAGTACACTTTCAAAATGAATGAAGCAAAAACATGAAAATACAAGGAAATATATCCAGAACCACAATTGTAGCAAACTTATACATACCACACTTTATCTTTGATAGATGGGGTCAAAATCAACAATATTTAAGATTTAAGTGCATAGTGAGTAAGATAACACAAACTTAATAACAAAACCTAAATACCACCGCTTTTAATTGTTTGTATATATGTATATATGTGAACACCTCCAAATGCAAATAAACTTAATGTAATGGTATGTAAAAAGAAGATACATAGGTCAGGCGCGGTGGCTCATACCTGTAATCCCAACACTTTGGGAGGCTGAGGTGGGCAGATTACCTGAGGTCAGGAGTTTGAGATCAGCCTGGCCAACATGGTGAAACCCCGTCTCTACTAAAAATACAAAAATTAGCTGGGTATGGTGGCAGGCCCCTGTAATCACAGCTACTTGGGAGGCTGAGGCAGGAAAATCGCTTGAACCTGGGAGGCAGAGGTTGCAGTAAGCTGAGATCATGCCATTGCACTCCAGCCTGAGGGACAAGAGCGAGACTTCATCTCAA